CGGTAACAAGGACTCAAAAACCTCCACAGTGTCAGAGGCAGGCATCCAGTCATGATGGCTTTCTTTTGGCAACGTGCACTGCTTTTGAGCCTGGCCGCTGCCATGTCGGTATATGCAGGTAATATTGTAGCAAAATGGTGGACGAAGGTATGTGATTATCATTAACAAATGCTGTTTGAGTAACAACTTGAGTTCTTTGTGTTGTGTCTTCTTCCAGACATGAAGCTGAAGTGCGGCCCAGATTTTGTGACGCTGGTGTGGACGGAGAGCAGATCCCAGGCTGATTTCTCGCTCTTCCGTCTGGGTAACTGCTTCCCCACCAGCATCTCTGCCACCGAGGCTGTTTTCAGCGTGGATGTCAACGATTGTAACTTCAGGAGAATTGTGCGTAAAACATAAATATTTACCTGCAAACTGAGTCCAGTGTATTTCCTGCAGCTTGGTGACATTTGTCTCTCTCATAGGTAACTGGGGATCACTTGATGTACACCAATGATCTGACCTATAGTTCCTCTCCTGACTTCACTTACCCCGTTGCCTGTGCATATGAGAGGTGGGTGTTCATACTACAGTAGAGTGTTTGGTAAAATGGCAGAAGTTGCTTTACTCAATTGCTTTTGTTGTGTTGCAGGCCTAATAACTGGTACCCTCTGATTTATGAGCCAGTGTTCAGTACATACGGTCTAGGAGCTCTAGTGTTCCACATTGGACTCATGAATGGTGGGTGTAAAGCATGACATCACTGGAAATGTCGGCTCTCACGGTGACTCTTGTAACGTAATGACTCCTTTCCTATTTGCTCCTGTAGCTGACTTCTCAGGCCCAGCTGAATCCTCTACCTTTCCTCTGGGCTCCTTTATCCCAATCATGGCTAGCGTGTCTCAGATGACCCATCAGCCCTTGCTGCTGCTTCTTGAGGAATGCGTAGCGGCTACCACAGCGGAGCTGCAGCCTGAGAGCACTTTGTACCCGATAATCGCCAATAAGGGGTAATCTTGTGTCACCGCTTTTTTGTTGATGTCCAGATATAAGATGTAACACTCTTTTTCCGTTCTCAACCACACAGATGTCTTGTGGACAGTCTGGTATCACGCTCTAAATTCGAACAAAGGAAAAAATCATCTGAGATCCATCTATCACTTCAAGCCTTTAGGTTTGGTCTCGGCGAACGGGTAACTATAATCTTTTTTTACATTCAGGGCTTTATTGTGAAAGCTGGAAGCTAACTATGCCTCGCAACCTCACCACTCAACAGGTGTTTATCCACTGTAAACTTGTGGCTTGGGATCCCAACGGTATGGACAACACCAAGAAGGCCTGCCACTATGTCAAAGAGCATGGGTAAAAATGTCACTTAACATTTCACAATGTTTTCTGGGTTCAATCAGACTTGTATGATGGACTGCTTGAGAATAACTTTCTGACTCTCCTTCAATCCTCACGATCTCAGCTGGGAGCTGCTGGACAACTCTGCATACAGCAATCTCTGTGACTGCTGTGAATCTGACTGCAAGTCCAGGAGGATCAGGAGTACAGCATCAGGTATCTGCGTGACTTCTGCTATATTAACGTGTCTGCTTTGATTTGTACTTAAACTTTTCTTTTTTTCTTTTTAAACAGGGAAGCATGGTGTGGTTCAAAATGCTGTCCTTGGGCCACTTACCATCACTGATGTGAATTCCTGAAGTATTTTCAAGGTAATTTTACATTGCACTATATATTCTATTTATCCTTAACAACTACTTGACCTTTTCTCTTTTTGTACTCCAACAGAAACGGATCCATCCTGCACACTGGCTCCTTCAATCTGAATTGGATTTTTATTCTTGTGTCTTGTAAGCTTCTAAAAGCTTGATGCCTGTCTCTTTGCAGTTCAGATCATGATGAAGTCATTAAAGATGCAACTATGTACTTGAAAGGGCTCCCATTATTAAGCTTGAGTGTGTAATTGGGTAAAAAAAGAAGCTTGTTCTTGGTGAAATGCACATCTGGTCAGCAACTTCATATACAGTGATTGATCTCGGCTTCTTTTAGCAGGTCTCTTATGAATAAACTAAATTCC